GCGCCCGCCGCTCTGAATTAACAGCAGCGAGAACGAGGGAAATACGGACTCACTCACAGACTCAAAAACACCGTCACGTGCATCACCTCCACTTTGAAAAGACTACAGTGTACTTATAATGCTACAATGACAGTTTAGGACACAAAGCCATTTTATGAAAGCAACAAAGCGGCATTTGGTGCAGCTTCTTTTTCAAAACTTGGAATGAGTAGCCTCATCGAACATACAGCGCAGCATATCGCGTCAAAATCTGAACACAACGACGATAAAAGAGCTTGTCACACAGCTGAACGCAAAATGCCATTGATCTCCGATGAGGCTCTGTAATAATACAGTTATTACTTGAAATGCTGGCGAAGCTTAAACCAGTAAATAAAAAAAGAAATTGCTCAAGCCGCATTCTGCTGTAATGTGTCAACACACTGAGCTGGTTAATGCTTTAGCTTATTGAGTGTGCAGTCTTCATTCATTAAGCCCACTGATTGTGCTGAAAGGCGCATCTTTTAAACACTAATTAAACTCAACCTGCCATACATGTACTATGGCGACATGCAGAATATATGGTGTGCATTACAAATACATATGAAATGCATTTATTGAGTTCCATCATCCATTATTATCTGAAACATTTTATACTTGTTGGTTTTGCCAGCAGCCATTTCTGGTAGGGAACGGCATGTTCAAAAAAATGTAACACAAGTAACAGCGATACAATTTCAACAGAGCAACGTGACAGCAATACATTAAAAATGTCCTATGGTGCAAACGGGACGCATGAATCCCATCTCTATATAACACGTCTGCCTCGACCAGATGTCACCAATTACAGGCTGATTGGTGTGTGTGTGTGTGTGTGTGTGCGACCTACAGCCCCTCTCTAAGGGTCATAAAATGAAAATGCCACAAAGTGCAACCCTGGAAATAATCAACAGTTAAAGACTCACATAAACCCCTGAATGGACTCACCTAACCGGACAATAAAATCTGACAAACTTCCACCTTAATTGGAAGCTGCTTCGCCCAAATTGAGGTCTGCCTAATCACTGAGCTCACACAGCTCAAGTAGGGAAAGCAGAGAAGAGGAATTTATGCCATCACACAATTTATGCCATCAAGTAAAATGACGATTTATGACGATTTATTTGATCGCAAAATATAATTTTACATTGATTTAATAACTATTTTGAAAGTCATGCAGACGTATTCATTCATATGGCTTTCCTTTGTTCGAGCTGATCACATGAAGAACAGACATCACACTTTATTAAGATTTTCCAAAACCGTCTTCCTGAAGGACGTGAAAAGGTCTTTTGGTTAAAAGTTGCACTGTAACTACAGAATATAAAGAGCACATTCAGAGGCGTTCTGACGCACCATTGTTGACATTCTCCTAAAAATACCCGCTTTGTCTCCGAACACAACACTATCATTAGTCGTGCATCCTGTCAAAGGCCCCATATGGGACAATATCTTATCTTGAACATCAATCAGTGACTCGGTGCACTGCACATCTTCTATCCAGTGCTGCACAAACACACATTGTTTGATCCGCTGCAGGCTCTGCGTCAGTGGCTGACTGGACTAAATAACACGCGAAGATAAGAATTAACTCGGCTGTAACACCTCAGTAACAAAAAGACGATAAGACACTCACCGAGAAGGAATCAGGAAATTGAAACATCTGACCTGACCAGGCTTCTCAGTTAAATCAGACGATCAGAAAAGGGCCATACGAGAGAAACGCATGATCAGGTTCGTGCTAAAGGTGAGTGGAGCAGCCACTCCTCCATCATCACACCTCCTTTACAGTATTTTTAATCTCTCCCTTCAGGATTGTGTTGGGACAACATGAGTTCAGCCCATCTACACAAGCCTTAAATCCCCTTACTGAAAAGATGATCATAAATAAGTTTTTTTCTCTACCTTCCCTTCTCATCGTCGAGCCAGGGCATTTATGGCATATATCCCACAATATAAAAGGTAATAGGATACAGACAATAAGATAGAATTGGTGGGCGGATATGGGTTTTTAGTGGTAAACACAAGTTAATGCGATTTAATACAAGCCAAACTCGACTGTCACGAAAGACCGGTTTTGTCCGTAACAGAGGTCTGATATGGGATCAGCTGAGAGACCTGAAACGGAGGTTATGTGGGTCAGTAAGCAAAAGATGGGACTTACCTGAAGTCGACAGGTCAAGGTCAGCACATGTGAGAGAAGACAGCAAAAAAAAGCTTGATTAGAAAGTAAAAAGCGTACGACTTTGTTACTTTGTTTTTCATCCCAGTATGTTGTGCGTTAACACACATTTCTGTGTACGGCAGCAGTGTGTACACTCCCTGGGCTGTGGGCCACATCACCAGATTTCTTGCTGGTTTATACATCACAACTCCCCCTACAGCGAATTATCATCCGCTAATCTGGATTTACACATGCACAGCATAATCATGACGAGTGTGTGTGTGTCTGTAGAAATGCCCCCTCAAATTTCAATATGCATTTCCAATAGACCGAAATGTATAAAGAGACCTTTTTATGCAGCCTAAATTCATAAACAGTGAGACAAAATTTTGATTTCGTCCCCTGTTGTGCAAATTTTTAGGTTAAATGTTTAAATGACAGCCAAGATGACTTAAAAAAAAACTGTAGATGCATAAAACACATCCCACACAAAATTACTACTACTAAACCCTCAATCTCCCTACTTGCATGTTAACATGCTGCACTCCTACTTGCCAACAGCGGATATCTTGATAAATTCATCAACTTCATTTCATAGAGTGACTTTCTGTGCACAACATATAAGAAGCGTCCACCGCAGGAGGCAGTGAAATAATCAGCAAAACTCAGATTCTAAGCTGCCGGACGGGGATTCGGTTCCCCACCGCACGTTCCACTTCCATTCCATTGCGTCTTTACCCCTTTGAATATTCAGACGTGCGCAGCCTCGTGGAGGGGGATGGGGGGGGATCGATAGTTTCGATCGAGGTTAGAGATCGATCAGGTCATGTGTGCACTTGTGTGGCAAAGAGAGGAAGAGGAGACGGGATGTTGAGTTCAAGCTGTTAGTGAAGGAGGAAGAGGGAAAATATCCGCAACAACACAATCATCTCTCCAAGTATTTTCTCGAATGGAAATTAGTTTCCAGTACATACAGCACTGTAAAATATTAGTATTTTACAGTGCTGTATGTGGAATCGGCTAAATGAGAAGCACCAGACGGCTCTCTTACACATGATTGGTTGAGATCGGCCCCAATAGAAAAGTTAAACTGAACCACACCAGGAAGCACTCACTCGCGCACACGTTTCCGTGGCAATTGAGGAGAAACACCCAACCAAAAGCTGGAGGCTGCGTCAAAATTGCAGGTTTCGGCGCCACAGGCGCTCATTTTAAGGCTATATTTACACACAGGCACGGCGCACGGCCGCCCGTGTGTCCTGGCAGTTGTGTGCAAGCAAGATCCAGATGTTATAAATACTTGAGGTTCCAACTAGAGTTGTATTTTTATGAGACGTTTCCTCTGTGTGGTGTGCAGCGTATACACGTGTAGTGTGTGTGTGCGCGTGGGAGAGCCACGGATAGAGTCGTATTGTATTGACCTGTCTCTGACACCGTCTCTGGGATAGAATAAGCTGTGAGCAGAAAGACTGTCCATGCGACAGAGGAAAAAGAAAGAAAAAAGAGGGCGTGTGGGGTAGAAAGATTCTGGAAAAACAAATCCAGTAGTAGAGGTCTGTCTTTGTCTACAAGCCGATCTGGAGCTCAGAAAGAAAAGAAAAACGCCTTCTTCCTTCCCTCAAGATTTAAAAAGGAAATTATCACCAAAGATTGAAATTGATCAATGTAGATGTATGTAGAAATCATCTAGGAAAGATAAATGTAATAATGAACATTATAGGTTGGATTTATACCCCAACAGCATGTTTGACAACTACTTTCATGGATGAATTTAAACAATTCTGACTAATTAAGTATGTAAGTATTTTTTATATTCTGTGTGTTGCGGCATGAGCGGTTTATTTCTTTAACCTTTGTGTTATCTTTCTTATCTTCATAAGCATGTTAGAAAATATACATCTAAAACCACCGGTAGCGTTGAAATAAAGACAATAATCCTCTCAAACCATCGGTATCGACGATGACATCCCAAAACAGCCCCCCCCCCCCCACACCCACACACCCCTCCCGGTCCCCGGCCGGCTGAACCGACTGCTAAATAACTGGTTTGGAAATTCATAATGGTTATTAATATCTAACTAGCCCTCGCGGAGGAAAGCCCAGCTGAAACCGCAGGAGGCGACAGTATCGGTCGGAGTGAATGGAGAAAGTATTATATTCCATTTTCGGGTTTGGCTACAGTTACAGCCGTCGTCTCCGAAACCTTACTGACACCACTGAGAGAATGCGCACACACATGCATGGACAGACACACACAAATAACGCACTGATCAATAAGTAACGAGCCTAATGAAGAAAATCGATATCCCCGAGATACTGAAAGAATAGGAATGGCCTTCTTACCTCGGTCAACGCGGTGCCTGTGAAACTACGGACGTTACCGCAGGAACAAAGTATTGCCACTATGTCGGAGTGATGAGCTACGCAAGCCTCCACACACGCACACACACACACACACACACACACACACACACACACACACACACACACACTCACCCTGCACTCACATCCCCACCAGCCTCTGACATCACCGCACCCGTGACATCCCCGGCTTCCGGCCTGGCGCATCATTGTTTACCTCCTGCACAAACACAAGTGCCCTTTGACCCCACTATAAGCTCCCTACAGCAAACAGAATGTGTCAGGGGCGTATGTGTGTGTGGGGGGGGGGGGGGGTGGGTGGAGACGGAGAACAAGGGGCCCATGAAAAGACAGGGACCCAACGACTTGCTTCCTCGTTCGGGGGCTTCCGGGCTGAGCGGATGAACAGCGAGCGGGTCATACACGCCCCGTGGTCGGGTGCTTTCTCCCCTCTCACCTATCCGGTGCTGAGGCCGGTACACCCAGTCGTCCTCGTCCTCGTCCTCGTCTCGGTCCGCCGCGCTCAGGTGAGTGTGCGAGTGCGTTCGGCGGGTGTGTGCGACGTGGAGCTCGTTCTGGCTGTGGAAGATGCGTCTGCTCTGGCGGGACAGCGTGGACACGTTGAGCCAGCTGAGGGCGCGGGACAGGCCCGCCGGTTTCTCCTTACGGAAGGAAGCGCACCTCCTTTCCCCCCTCATACCTGGTCGACAGACGTGAAGGTTCAATATGGAAAAATAATCCTCAAATGCCGATCCTTGAACGAGCAAAGTCCAGGTGAAGGGATCCAGGTCGGCACATGTTAAACTGCTTAAAACTATCCGGATTACGCATTAAATGAGTTCCAGAAGGAGGTTCAGCTATGAGCCGCTTCACTTCAGCTGCACCGGCCCATTTCTCCACTCTGACGCCATAAGGCCTTTCTCCTTCAATCAACGTGTCCGTCCCGGGCCCGACTTTCCGCCGGGGCTCAAATCATCTCTGCTTCTTGTCTTTTGTGTTTGAAGACTCCAGGCGTGATTCCCAAACCCACCAAGTAGCAATTAAAGCCATCCGGCAGTCGTGGAAAAAAGCCACCGCCCCTCTGCAGCACACGCTCAGACACACACGCGCTCAGTCGGCTGCGATAATCCCTGGTAGTGGAGACGCGCTTCACTCACAGCAAGTCGGCGTAGTAGCGTTTACCACCACGTGTGCTCTTTGCGTGTTGTCATCTTCGGTCTTTGGGCGCGCACACACACACATCAGCTGACGTGGGCCAGAAGTGACCATCAGGTGAGGAGGTGTCAGTGTCTCCGGCGTCTATTCCCAGCCTGGTGAAGTCACATGCACATCCACACCCCTCGGGTATGAGATCCTTACGCCGCCGGCTCCAAACAGGGACCCTCTGTTATGTGAGAGTACACGCCGGTGTGGGGGGGGGGGGGCAAAGATGACGGCCCCTTCCTCCGTTTCCCAAAAATCCAACTGCTTGCCAGCACTGTATTGAAAGAATTCCCAAGTACGTTGACGTGGTGAAAGAACTTTGACTCTCTCAGCTGATCAGCACGAGTGATCGTGGAGGGAAGATCCTCCACGGACGCGCGCACACAGACACACACACACACACACACACACACACACACACACACACACACACCTGTGGCGCGCAGGCAGGCGGATAAGGAGTGTGCGCGGCGGGGAGGGTTGACCGAGCTCCGGTCCTGGTCGGAGCGTGAGTGACTAGGAGAGCGGTCTGTGTTGTGACTGAGGCGTCAGGGTTACACCCAACCCGAGGAGCCACGCTGCTGAAATACGAGTAGACCTGTCCCTCCTCTCCTCCCTCCCTCCCCCTTCCTCGCTTCTTCCTGCGATCCGTGATCCCTGCTCCGCCCATTCATTCCTTTTTGCCGGCATGGCAACCACTCCTGCCTGCTTCCGTCCCTCCCTAACCCCCCCCCCCCGCCCCTCGCCGCCTTTATCCTTGTTTACTTTCCTCGTTATCCTAGTCGTCTCTAGTCCCTCAGGTGCTTCGTCTTCTGAGAAAAAGGCCACAGTGTTTTGGTGCAAGCAGTGTTTCGTCTGGAGGCCAAACGCAGAGTACCTGAAGACGACATCGACCGAACGAGATGATGAGAACACCGTCAAACACTTCAGCGGGTCTTGTTGTTAAAGGCGTACGAGTTTTATTCTCGTGTAAAACAATGCGCACCACATACTTAGCTGCCCAACATATAGTTTGAGGAGGGCAAAATAGCACACGGAGGCCCTCGGCCTCAAAAACAAAGTCTGTACGGGGCGTTAGGGAGGCGGCGCTTTCCCACCAGAGTGTAACCGCAGAAGGAGGGTGAACACCAAGGTGTGACAGTAAAATGCTGCTGCTGTGAGAGTGTGTGTGTGTTTAAGTATATAAAGCACACAGCCGGAGCTCGTCGATTCGGATCCCATTTTGGGAAGCCATAAAGCAACCATAAAGATCTGCCATCTCACACAAAAAGGGACAACCGCCGCCGGCGACCACACACACACACACACAATACATATTTTAAGACCTTTGGCCGCATTGATGAAACATAAGGCCACAGGTCCTTTAATAATTAACCCACTGTACTCTACCGTGCTGCAATTAAAGTGCAAAAGTGCAATACGTTGCTGGCTTTAATAAAGGAAAATGAAGATGTTCACAGCATCAAGCCTACTAGACAGACCAGTTTAGTCTATTGATTTCCTCTTTTCAGGAAGAAAAGCACTTTTAGTACCATTTCCCCCCCGAAGGGAATTAAAAAGCCAAAGGTCATCATAAGAGGTCGGCAACCCTGTTCAACCCCCACCTCACTTCCTTTTCATAGATCTCCTTGTTTTCATTCCCTTGACGCTACACACAGAGAGGCGACAGCAGGGACCATAATCAATATGTTGAATCTGATATCTGTAGTGGACGTTTAACAGCTTTGCTTTGGCTGCCGGTCAGATGAGTCTCTCTCACTAGCAGCTTAGACGTTATCTGTTGGTCTTTAAAGGGAAAAATGCTAATATTTCGACCATATAAATAAATCTTCGATTCTATCAGAAATGAAAAGATTGTTTTTATTTTTATTTTTGAAAGTTATCAGGCATGCTTGACTTTAGAAATTAAACAGAATGGGTTTGTGATTCATGTTGAATGTGAAAAATGTTTGTTAACTTGTCAACGTTATATTACAAAATATCAGATGTTCTGCTGTATCGCGTTGTGGTTCTTTTCTTTCCTACTGTTGGTATTAAACACACAGCCCCGACGCTGGTGGAGGTTACAGTAAATAAGCAATAACGTCAACAGAGTCATTTCAGCGTCAGTCCCTGCAGGTCAAGGGAAATATGCAATAACAAGGAAGTGACTACATAACAGACAAACATCAAGATATGAATAAATATCTTCTTCGGCATGTGGGAGTGATTAGCAGCGACGCCATACAGACACTGAACGAGCTGCTCTGTAAGGAGATGCTTTCAACTTAAGATACCGGCGTTATAATTAAAGCCAAATTGAATAAGGTTAGAAGGCTTAACACACCCTCCGGCTGCAAAGAGACGGTGTGGCGTTTCTCAATGAGCGAGCAGGACGACGTGGAAACAGATTTGACAGTGTGGATACACTGAATCAAACGGAGCTTTGAAAGGATAAAACATTGGGGGGAAAAAAACTGGAACCTATAATTTTACTCCAAAAATTATATATATCCTTCAGTGCTGTTTACATTTAATTTCACCCTTTTCAGATCCACACACACGCACACAAACACTCGACACACTTGCGTGACACAGACATGGGACGGTGACATTAGACCCGGTTGCCAAGTAACCCGATCCGACATCAGAGGCCCGGGAGGGCTCGACATCGATACGCACCGGCTGACGGTCACACGGAGGGCGAGCACAGCGGAGAGGAGCGGGCGTACCTGGAAGCAACACGTAGCCCAGAGCAGCATTTAGTGCATCCACCAGCCCCCACCCTCGCAAAGACAGACAAAAAAGACAAAAGCCTCGGCTGAGTGTGTCTGCCAAATCCCCAAAACCCAGTAAGTACAGTTTCACCGAGGCCGTCTCCCAGCGGCAACACGGGGCTTCGGCTCCTCCACAGCGGAAAGCTTTTGTTACCGGACCAGACCGTTGTATGGGAGTCAATGAACACCAACACCCCCCCCCCGCCCACCCCTTTGGTTTCATCGCTATCACATTCAGATCAATGGAAAATGAATGACGTCTCAGGTCAAGATGCGCCTTAAGGGTCAGGGTTATGGTTTAAATTGGGAGACACGTCAAGGGAAGTATGCTCAGTCGGTGTGTGCGTGTCCACGTTCTACATTAGGTGCCTATAGGAGATGTTGGAATTTCTACTGGAGGGTTAGGAGGGCCTCTCCTCCTCACTTGGACAAACACTTGTAAGTGTTTCAAATGCAATTCTGGTTGGTCGGAGTCACTCAGACTCACTGTGTGTTTTGTGATGGCTTGTATTCCTCAATCGTTGTGAAAACATCATACGCATTAAAACATTATCATCACTATGATACTTTAATGGGACCACATTAATGAGCAGAACTGTGAGCTTCCAGCAGACAGTTGCCAGATAGATGGGAGGAAATTTGGGCTGCATACTAGAACCTTGCCAGACATATAACAAACTTAAGACATGTCATATTGGTATGAAAATGTTAACAATCCCTATGATCTTTCTGGAGTTGGAATCATTGTTCAAAGTTTATATACGTGCTGTCAATGAGATTAAGTTTACTTCGGTGCCGACAAATCTATTCTCCATATTTCCATACACATGTCCCAGATGTGCGCGGGAACTCCACAAGTCTGGTGTAACTTTATTGACGCAAGATTATGGAAGAGGGACATGCACTAATGTTAACAATGCAAGACAAGAAACATTCAGCCTTGCATGAAGAAAGCTCACGTTGGCACCGATTCGATGCAGCATCACATTGGTACATAGACTTCCTTTGATGCGGAGAACTCTAAACCCGGACCCCTCTTTGAACCTGAGAGCTTAGCCTCCATCTTCACCGGCAGCATGTCTGACTGGATCCTTTCGTCTTAATGCGCTTTCTAATTACGCTTCGTCACTTTGAGGTACATCAAATGTGTTCTTATCACTCCGTACTTATCATGTAATTGATCACCCTCTCGTAAAATGCACACTGTTTGTGATAGGTAACATGTGAACGTTCACAAACAAGGTCATGTTTCCCTTTACATGTTTCCATTCAAAAATGCCTTTGAGGAGAGAATCTCAAACCTCACATTTCTCTCTGTGAAGTCGTCCTTCACTGTTGGCCGCACACATTAATGGGATTAATAAAGGGCACCAAGAGTGACATTAAATTGTGTGAGTGTATGTGGCTACCTCTTCAGGCTCCCATGAGGCTCTGCAAAGAGGTGATGGGTCATTCACACTGACAGTGATGGACAAGAGGCTGGCTGCTTTCAGACTTCAATGTGCGATTGTGTGGTTTGTCAAAGACGCCGCAGGATTTGTGTGGGTGCGATAGTGAGATCAGGTAAATGTGCAGCGCTTGCAAATGTTGGGTGATGTACGTATAGTATTTATATGCAGAAACTCACTCAGTTAGCCATCTGAGCCTCTTGAGGATCCATATACTGACCTAATATGGCGTCACAATCCACTTTAACTGCCACTAAGATCGATGGGAGGTTGAAGGTCGGGCGAGGTCGACCCTAATCATTATTTTTCGAGAGTCTCTGTACAATGAAAAGGCTTGCATACGCACTCACAGGCAAGGTATACCCTGCGCACACAAACACACACATACAAATGAATAAAGGCTTTTTTTCCATGTAACACAACCTTGATGAAACTGCAGTGACGGAAGGAAAGGAGACGACAGAATAAAAGTGACTAACCCTCATGATAATGAACAAGGAGAATGAAGGAAGAGGAACCCGCGGCGGGGCGGAGGGGGGCAGGGCCCGTAACCCGGCAACGGCTGCTGACGCTGACGGCCCTCGACTAAGCCTTGAAGTTAAAGCTCAGTTGTTGCGGATGATGCAAAAGCAAACGTGGTGAAAACTAATTTGTCACAGGAAATAATCAAGTTTCAAACTTTCTAATTAACCTTTTACTCCCATAATGTGTCCACCTGTCTTGATTGAAGAGTTATCAAAGTCCAGCTTCTCTAAAGCAGCTTCTTCTGCTCTTCTGCGTCATATTTAATAACATGACAGAATGTTTGGGGGTTTTAGCCCGATGGGCCAAAAATGTC